GATCTTAGGTTTGAGGCTCAAACTCACCTGACCGGTCACTCAACAACTCCAACGAGTAGTCTCTGTTGGCTTTACCTTGTGTTACCGATGGTGCAGCGCCATTTGAAGTCACAAGGATGGTGATCGGCTGCTTGTGATAGTGTCCATTATCCCGAAACGCCACCCTATATTGCTTGTGGCGGGAGTTAGAGAATTCTCCGATGCAAAGAAGGACTGACATCCACCTTCGCCTGAGTGTAGGATGAGATGGCAGGTTCTAAACGTTGTTCAAAGGACACTACTCAAGCGAGAAACGCCCGCTACATGATATGAGCATGAATGACGGGTCACCAAAGTCTGGAACCTTTCTGAAGAGACGTTCGTTCTAGCTTACGTCGTCATCCCGTCATCTACACGACACGTGAGTCAAGTTCGATTCCGGCTCTCAAGTGATTCTTGTATCTCTCAGAACCTCGCTGTCTATTCTCACACAACAGCTAAATTTTGGGCGGTGTCACAAGTCTCTGCAACTGCGGCTGTGATGTATTTGTGTTTTTCCAATGAGTTCGTTAGCCATCTCTTGATTCATTCGATGGAGTGGAAGAGTGCAAAAGAAGTGGCCCTGACTTTAGTTTGGACCACTTCATTACTGCTCCCAAAAACCTCATCAACTTCTGCGCCTGTGTTCTGGGAACGTCTCTCTCTGTTGGTCCTCGTTCACCACTGGTATCCACGATATTCTTGCGCGTATTCATCCCATTTACCACGAAGATAATTATCACACGCCTTTCAGCCGTCTTCTTAACATCGGCTAAGGACACTGCAAACACTCGCTTTGCATTCGTCTCGAGGCTCTCTGATACACAGGAGTTTGAGAAACACCGAATTTGTCCTCGCCGGCTGTAACTGTTGAAGAGCTGCAGGATGTTATATTCCCCGTATGCCCCAACCTTGAATCCAAACGCGGGACTCGTCTTCCTGTCACGGGGTCAACGGTCCATGGCGTCTAGCACCGCTCACCCAGGTTCATCACAGCTGACAAGGTTTCGCTTCTTCAGGACCGCTGTTCAGTTGGGAAGATGTTATCCTTTGATTGGACGCGGTTCCCGTTGGCGCCGACCAGATTTCGTAGCATATAAGTAGCCTGCGTGCTTTCTCCTCTGGAGTTTCTGCAATAAGCTGGACATTCTGCTGGTTTGCCAGATGAGATTCAGGCCCACGCAAGTATCATGCAAGAAGCCGGCCTCCAGAAGTCAACGTTGAGCACCTACCTCGCTTTTCCTACCTTACGTCGTGATTGATTTCTGTTTCGTCGTCATTCTGGTATTGTGTTCTGCGAATAAGCCAGGGATGAGAAGCAACGCCAGGGCTTAGGTGCGAGGATGTCATTTCATCTATTTCATTAGCTTACTTATTCCACGATTGAGTCAAGTCTTGGATAAGGGCCTAGCACACAAACTCGCATTGTGTCTTGTTCTCTGTCGTCATCAGAAGCTTATGAAGCCGTTCTTTTAGGCTTTTGCGAGCCTGCCGCATGTTCGCCGCCTACCATACATTTCACTGGCTTCCGGCAGTATTTAATTCCAAAGCTTTTGTTTTCTAAGTTCGATAATGAAATGTGATCCGTTGTACGCACAGTTGAATGAAAGATCTATAAGAGGTCATGCAACGATGTTTCTAGACCCCGCCCCCCAACGTATTCGGTCATTCGCGGTCCTCATAATAGGGCCAAGTTTACTTATCGGTCCTCCCGGCTGCCATTTCCTTCTGTGTCCAGGTATTCAGTTTATGTATGTACGTGTTGTTCGTCCCGATGATATTGCCAGACCTTATATCCAGACAAATCGGCTGGAGTTGCCAGGCCTTCTTCCCCCCTTTGGCTGCAAGTGCCTAGAAACCCGACCGTCAGCCATGGAGTTCCATTTTGTTATGATGGAGTAAGCTTAATCATCTCCTGTGTTTAAGGATTATATATATTACTTTTTCCCTCATTGGTCCAGGGTTCTTTCTGTTCGCTGCCGATGCTTTCACCTCCAGCCTTGCATGCAGCAACGACGCCCTCTCCTTCCTTGTCCTAAAGCTACAGCTCGCAGACTTTCTCGCCGCTCTCATCTTACTTAAAGCCAAGGTAATGTCTCTATTTCGTTAGAGACCGCAAGTGACACATGCTGACTCGCTTGTGAACTTGAACCCGACCAACGTATCATCGCTTACGCCGGAACGCGACACGGCGGCAGATGGAAGATGGTGTCCACGAGGCTCATCCACGACCATCCCATCGTCGTCTTTTTCGTATTTGGACTGTTTGCAATTGAGAAATACACTAAAGACGACCCTTCGTCGGCCTTGCCCCCCCTGTGCCCCTTCTCAGACCCCCCTTGGCAGTAGCTTTCCCGCCCGTATCGGACATTCGAAAATATTAAACAGGTGGGCTCGTATGCCATTTGCCTTGGGAAGAAATCCAATGCGCAGCGAACACTTTTAAGTAGACAGTGCACCATGCTTGCAGGCAGTCTCAGGCTGACGAGGATTCACCGACTAAAGAGTACGTCAAAGGCAGGCGTGACCTTTTAACGAAACGTACTTGCCCATCGGTGGCTTCAGACCATTCATGCCTCTAACGCTATGCTCAAACAGTCTATAAATTTATCATTTGCACCTCTTAGAGCTTGACTGAGATGAATGCGGACTTTCGATCGGCTTGATACCTTAGGTTTCCAATGTCGGCCACGACTTGTTCAGGCCACTGGGAAAGATACTTTATCGAGATGTCGAGTCATCAAATCAAGCAAACAAACGAAATGATTCGCTTTCTTGGACATATTCAGCTGAGTATAATTCAGAGGGGCGAGTGACAGGTAACGAACACAAGGATGCGTGGCCTTCGCCAAACCGACTGCATCAAACCAGGCCTGTCAAGACCTGGCTTCGCAAATAACTGCAGTATCGCATCTCTCGCCATAATGAAGAGCCAGACTGAACAGGCTTGCACCGATTCGATTGGTTTCATCGGTTTTCAGCAGCTTGACCGCAAATTTATACTCAAGAGCTGGAAGAAATGGTTCTGTTTTCCTTCACAGCTCGTCCACGTTGTCTTACGTTTTAGACTTGGATTTGTGAGCAACGCTTGAACTTCATTTCGCCGCTAGAGTCGCATCGTCTTCTGACGATAGCTGATCCTGCGATTGCAGCAATGATCTTTATTTCGTCCAAGTGGCGAGATTCAACGGGATGCACAGCAAGCGCGGTTTTGAATTCGTACGCAGCTTGCCCTTAACTCCCCTCCGAAACTTATTTCTGTGGTCTTCGAATACTCCGCCGTCAATCTCAGTGATCATTTCTCTTGAGGCCATATCATTCTCCTCATAAGTCAACAGCGTGAGCGAAGAAGGATGTTGGTGAGATAGCTCCGACTGCCTAATTCGGAAAGTGGCGCAGTTTCGTGTTAGTGTTGGATTGTTCGGACTTTTGTGGCTTTTAGATGTTAAATAAGAGGCGCAGTCAGGGATGACCGGTTGTTCTGTATTTCACCGTCGCAATTGCTTATTTGTGAAACTGACGTCATTTGCGATTGTCTGGTCGTTTCACAGCCCCTTGAGCTGAGTTAGCCGCCAAGATGAGCCACGCTTGGAGGAATCGCGCGTGACCAGTGTGCTGACTCTGTGCTCCAGCTCATAAACAGCGCCCCGCCCAACATTGCGCTGCGACGACCTCACGCATCCGACTCTTCGACTACAACACTCGACATCGAGCACACAATATTTCGAACTCCGTCAAAATGGACACGTTCAAAGGAAAGGGCCGTCTGAGCGACAACCCGCCTCCCTACTCCGAAGACAAAGAGGAAATCCCGACATATCAAGCACCCAGCGCCGGCTTCCAAAACCCACCTTCCGACTCGAAACCGCCTCTGAATTCGCTGGCGAAGTTTCCCCCATCTTTTCAATGTTACCTTGACAGGCAGGAAGGATTTTACTACCTCGGTTCCATATCATCAGAAGAACGCCTCTTCGCATTTTCCGCTAGCGCAAGACTCCAAACCACCATGCAACCCCTCCATCTCCACAACGGGCCGAGCGAGAGAGACCCCATCATCGTCAGGATGACACAGAAGAATCCCCGCTCGGTCAGCTTCGTAGCCACAATCACCCTCCACGATCCGTCGGACCCGCACACCGTTGTCGAGGAGATTTCCTACGAAAAGCCAGTGAACTCGCGGTCCGGCTCGGTGTTTGCCTCATGTCTTGCCTTCCGGATCAAGGTTGGCAAAGAGGGCAGAGAAGAGGAGTTCCAGTGGCGGCGCTCGAGTGGGAACGAGGTCAAGGAGCTCGCGCGGCATTCGATCGGAGGCAAGTTGGTGAGGATGTCCGGGCCCATGGCTGGTGCTGGAGGCAGCAGAAAGGCGCGCGAGCAGGGCTTCTCGGGCGACGGGAATGAAGTTGTTGCCGTCTTGGCACCGAGGTCGAATATCGGGATCGCGAACGGACTGAGGTTCAAGTTTATGGGGACAGGGTTGACAGGGGATCTGGGGGAAAGGTGGGAGAGTGTGGCTGTCATCACGGGGTTCTGGTTGTTTGGAATTTCTCGCGCGCGCGAGAAGGATAGCGTGTGATACATGCATCATAAGGATAGTCTCTCTTAGATTCACAGATACCCATTATTGATGATCTGAGTATACGATGTTCATTTAAGATAAGCGTCATAGGTTGACTGATCGGGGAACATCACCACATAGCCGGTTGATGCTCCGGAACGGAGATGGTCCACTTTGGTCCGAAGAGGGGCCGCCGTTGGCTCCGGCGTGAGTCACCCGTTCATGCAAGCCAGGCAAGTACGAGCCGCACTCATGCAGAGTCTAGCGCGTATTTGGAACGTCGCCTGAATTTCTCTTCACAGTCTTTATCATACTTACTGCTCATCTTTCAAGCCCTCCCATCCTTCCAGACGACAGAGCAACAAGCAGTGTTTGCCGTCGGTTGGCATACCATTTAAATCGACTTTCAAGCGTGCTCATTGATTCGATGGAGTGCAATGAACTATTTGTGGCTGAGCCCACCTTGATAAACGACGTACCAGTAAGTTGCCCCAGCCTCCGTACTACCGCGCACACCTTTGCCTCAGACTTCAGTGTCTAATATCCGCCAGGAGAAACCGAAGCTATTCAAGGTATACATTAAGAAGTTCGAACGCCAAGAAGACCCTCGGGCTCTGCAGCATTGGGAGCGGGAAGCAGAGGCTCTCAGACACGTGGGCACCCATGTCAGTGCCTGAACTCGTATGACAGAGTGAAAACCAGAGATCAGTGCTCATCATCTCTTATAGGCCAACATTGTCCAAATTACACACTCTGATGCGGTATCTCTCACGATAACTCTGCGGTGGGCACCGGGTTACAGTCTCGATCACTTCATCAAGTCCGACACCAAACGATGCACACTCACACACGACGACGCAAGGTTGCTGTGGAAGCAGATGTCCAGTGCCCTCGCGTACATCCACTCGAAATCAACTATCCACGACGATGTCAAGCCGCACAACATCGTATGGAACGAGCAGCTCAAATACGCAGTCCTCATCGATTTCGGCGCTGCACTAGTCAATCCCGAGAGCTTACCAGAGGGCGGCTGGACGCCTTCCGGCACCCCGCCATACGCGCCACCAGAGTTCTTCGAGAAGAAGAAGTGCCAAGCTGGCGACATGTGGGCTTTGGGGGTGACGATGTTGTTTGCTTTTGGGGATATTCCCCTGCCTGACGGGTCATGGATTCTGCCGCATGTTTTTGAGAACGAAGACGCCAAAGACGAGATGATGCAGTGGCTTTTGAGGATAGAGAGTAAGGGAAAGTCTTTGGATCATGCAGGCGACGGATCATTGCTGGCTCAAATGTTGCATTGGAACCCAGGACCAAGGATCAGTAGTGACGATCTTGTGCGGCATCTTGAAGCTTGATATTCACGGGCTCGGCAAATGCCTTGATCCAGTGTCTGGTGCCATGAAACTAAGATTGGTCTTTCTGAAGGCATGTCTTTGTAGAACGTATTCGATATTTGAAACTTCATGTAAACTCATCAGCCTTGGTGTGCGGTAGTTCCAACCGAGAACAGGAGTAACAAAACAACACGACGATGGTAAAACCGATGGTAAAACAACTGTTTTCGATCAACTGAAAGCGCTGCGCATATTCGCATTATGAGTTCGTTGTACATATTGGTTGCTTTTTTGGCGTAGACAAAACCTGGCTTGAAGCGCAGATCAACAGTTAAGCTATGGGTTCCGATGCAACCGTGGTATTTGCAACGAAGCCAGATGAAGTTTAGTCGCCTATAGACCGATAGCGTTCCACCTGTTAGTCCATGAATCAGTTTGTCGCGTGTTGTGGAAGTATCCGAGTGTGCGAGCTCATCGGGACGGTGCACAGCCTGTTTGTCGGGTGAAAAGGGCCGCTGGACTACTCCGTATATATATAAATCAAACTCATGCGAAACTCTAATAAGTGGTAACGTATATCTGCCCATAACTAATCAACGAGATTGTGAGCGACGGGACTTTGAATTGCATGGCGAGCCGGGGTCGCCGGAGGAGGCGTTGAACTTTCGTTGCAATATCTCTTTTTTGCAGTTTCACATATCCGCAATCCTCTCTACCATGGGCTTTCTGGCATATAATCTGCAGGAAACCCCAGACCTAAAAAGCCATCTTGATAGTTACCACGATTACCCACTTTCAATCTTCTGAAGTTCTGCCGGAATCCCACCGTCCCCTTATTACTCGACAACCGACATCATGTTCCCCACCACTTTGAAGACCACCCTTCTGGCCGCCGTGGCCATTGGACGAGTCAATGCCCAGAACCCGGGCTCATCTTGCGCTAAGCTCGGCGACTACACGTGCTCAGGTGTCAACTCGTTGGAGTGCAAGATGGGATCTGAGGGCAAGTTGATTTGGAACCTGGAGGGCAACTGCCCAGCGAACCAGATTTGTTTCATCAACGGAGATGGCAACTTTGATTGCAAGAACCCCAAGGCGTAAGTACAATGATCTATATTGACATTACCAAATACTTGAAGCTGACTTGTGCACGCTAGATGAACAACGCCAACAAGTTGAGCACCGAAATGCCGATCGCATGTTGGGAGAGAAAAAAAGGAGTTTAAGCGCAAATTGCAATTGCATCGAGCCAAGTTGGTTTATTGAGTATGAATAAATTTACACGTACGCCTCGCCTCACTTTGCGTACTCATGAATGTATAAAAAGATATTCTACAGCTTGGATCTCTTCTTCTCCTTCTCGGTCTCTGCAAGGAACCTCTTGGTCAACTGGCGAATGGCCAGGTCAAGCAATACATCCTCGCTTCCACCAGGAATCCGCGCGCCCGGAACTTCACGGTAGATCTCTGAACGTCATAATTAGAGTCACTTTTACCAAAAACAATTTGGACTTGAACGTGGTGACTTACTTTCTGCAATCTCTCCTTTTCCAGTGCGCGTGTACCCGTTGCCTCCGAACAGCAGAACAGCGCATCTCGCACACTCATCCAGTACAATTCCAGCATTGGCTTTGCACAAGGAGGTCAAGCCGCCAAGTTCCTCGTCTGCAGTCTTCTTGGGCATCTTTGACAGCTGATAGGCGAATGATTCGACCCATGCAGACTGCGACTCGAGCAATACTCCGCATTTCGCCAGGCGATGGCGCACGACTGGTTGCTCAATGAGTGGCTTTCCGGATGGCCTATCAGTACGGTCCTTGAACAAGTTTGAGTAAGAAGATCAGTCACAGTCACTCACCTTTCCGAATGCCTCACGTTGAAGAACATACGCAAATGCCGAGCTCAGCGCTACCCTGGCCTGCCTCGTCACACCCACCGAGATGAACATGCGTTCATGATTGAAGTTGTGCATGATGTACTTCATGCCTTCGTTCTCACGGCCGATTAGATTCTCTTTCGGTACGCGGACGTCGGACAGCTCGATAAATGAGGTGCCCGCGATGATCTGCCCAGAGACCTTGAGACGCCTTCTGGACACCCCAGACTGGTCCAGGGGCACTACTAGGAGTGAAATTCCCTTGGCCCCTGAGTCTTCGCCGCCGGTTCGGACGGCCAAAGTTGCATAGTCCGCCATCACACCGTTGGTAATCCACTTTTTGGTTCCGTTTACGATGTATTCGTTACCTCGCAGCTCAGCGGTAGTGGTGATGTTTGCGACGTCTGATCCGGCGCTGCAATAGTTGAAGAAAGATGTCAGCCTCTTTTCATGAGAACTAGTGTGGTTGCATCACGAAAGCTCAACTTACTCTGGCTCAGTAATCGCAATACAAGTTCTCTTTCGTCCAAGCAAGAGCTCCGGCAGGAACCTTTCTTGCAACTTGCTATCGCCATAATGCAGCAAAGGTGGGATTCCAAAAGCAACGCCAGTAGTGATAGATCCTCCGGGACCAGCCAGACCGGATCGACTCATCTATAGAGTGACGCGATTACTAATTAGTTGCATGCGGGAAGTCAGTATACACAACGACACTCGTACCTCATCGGAGTAGATCATTGTGTGCAAGTAGTTCCATTCCTCGATCGGCACCTGCCCGGGCATGTGGGTGATTCCCAGCTTTCGCAGCCACTCTACGGGCAAAGGCGCCGGCAGGGCGGGAAGAAGGAAGTTGCCATCGGCGAATGTCTTGAACACGTTGGATGGCACTTCCTCGGATGTTTCCCATTCAAGTGCATCCTTGTTCAAATTTTCGTCGATGAACCTGCGACACGCGACTTGGAATCTCTTGTGTGAATCGTTGAAATAGGGTGAGGGTAGGCCTCTGAGCCACGGAGGGTCTGCGAAGGGAACTCGAGACATGGCTGATTAATGCAATCTTGCGGAGCATATAATAGCACTAAGAAATTAGCACGATCATTGCTGGAGAATCGCTGCAAGTATGTTGCGATAAGTCAGACAACGATCCGTTGGTTGTCTCAATCACCTCGGCATGAAGTGCGGGGCTCTATCACCCCGGCCAAGACCGAGGTCGGTAAGCCGGCCCATGTAGCGACCCATTTTTCTTTGCGGTCCCGGTTCCGGATTGATGACAGCTCCGTGCTGTGAACGCACCTGGTGTTGACGGATATGATTTGAGTACATGAGTTGCACCGGTTCTCTTAGAGCCGATGCATATCAATTAGTGGAAGCCAGCCTTTTCTCGATCTTCAATGGAAACAACAATAAAGCTCTTCGAGCGCGTCATGCATTTGATTATCTTCACATGCACCAGGCAGTCATCTGTGAATTCAAGGTCCTGTGCATGAATTTATGGACATACTCAAAAGCCTCCAGTCGGTACGTATTCATTTCGTAATACCCTGAGAGCTGCAGAGATGCGAAGTAACGTATACGGCTGAATACTACCCTTTGTGGGCAGTATCCTCCCATATGTGCAAGCGATCATCATCGGAAAATCGAAGGAATGGGATCTGCTCTTCGGCAAGCAATGGCATTGCCGCAATGGCGCCGTCGTCGATCACCAGTCCGAAATGATCACCTTGAGAAGAAGACATGGATTGACATCCACAGTCCATGTCTTCCTCTCCAGGTGACTATTTCTGAGCTGCTAAGCTAGAAAGTACACATCACTATCAAACTGACACAGCGAGCTTTGCATGATCTCATACTGACTCAACCACGAAAAAATGCAACATTCCAGCAGCAGAAAAGCCTCCAGCTCACTGTGTCTGTTTCGTGTGTCGGGGCCTCCTAAACTATTATAAATGAAAACAACATCGGCAATTCAAGATCCTTCTATTCCATCAATGTGATGAAGTTGTGAACTGTTCGCAGCCAGGTCCTCAAGATTACCGGCTTCATCAATTACGAGCTGGGTCGTCTTCGCAACGACCTCCAAGATATGATTGGAAGCAACACCTGCATCTCGTCTTTTTCGTTCCTCTCCATCCTCCTCCATCGTCATTAGGTTGTACCTAAGGAATCAACAGTCTGAGGGAGCATCTTATGAAGAGACTCTTTGGTAGTGCAATATCGCTCCAAATGCCCTTCAAGAAGTCGCGAAGACCCTCGCCCCAATTAGATCCATCATCCATACACGAGTCCGACGATATTGCTACTTGTTGTCTGGACGCAAAACCACTAAAATTGCGGGTAAAAAATAGCAATTATAACAAGGGATCAAGATTGTCACCACACCACAAGCTTGAACAAGATTATAATTTAGTCATGCTGTCTTGTTTCTTAAAGAATTTGATGTTGTTAGGAACTCTCAGTCGCAAAACCCAAATCTATGGTACACGCAAACACACACGACTATCTCCTTAGTGTCCCGGGCCTGGAAACAGCACCAATCTGAAATTAAATATCCTTACAACGACCAGGTTTCACGAGAGCTCCAAAGCAACAATTGATTGCCACAGAGAGAGCTGCTCAATTTCTCTTCCGCATGAAAATAAAGCTCGTTTCGTTCATCCTAAAAGCGATTCTGTACATGATCACCGCCCAAGCACGTCGCGTCGAGCCACTGCGCTCAAGCCACTCTCGGGCATCATCGTCCATGTCAGGTTCTGCGGCCTGCACACTTACAGACCGAGGACATCGCCATTCACGAGTCAAGCTCAAGAGAACAGCTGTTTTATATTTTTGAGGATATGTTGTTATTACGAAATATCTAGAGCGCGCAAATGTCCACAGGGCTCTAAGCTTATTGCTGACTTTCTGTTAAGAAAAGTTTTCCTAGTCAAATATGTCACGACTAAGGAATGAGCTTTCCCTCACGAGAAGAGCCAAGACGAGCCTTCTAAATCAGGCGAAACTCCATACACTGTTAGAATTCAAAGCAACTCCCATCATCGTTGTTCATATGAATTGTATCCTCCGTATAAAAGCACTCTTCTGGTGAAATCACAGAGACCTCGTGCCAATTATGATCATCATCCACGGTGATGGTGGCTGCATCTCATTTTGTAGTTAATCTGGAATGTAACCACGTTATGGCTTATGAGATTAGCTCAAGAAGCTTGGCGGGCATCTCGGTGTCCCTTCTCTTAGCATTATTCTCCATGGATAACACAGAGATAACGACGAAGGAAAGAGCCAAGGGCTGACGATAGCTAGATATCTCTATTATAAAATTCTAAAATATAATCAACGCTCCAGGTCATTGGAACATGTAGGCTTCTTCATTCCACATTGAGTTCTTGCCCTTCAGCGCAATGCTCGCGCCATTCTTGGGCATGTCATCAATGGCTCAATGGGACTACTTGTACGCTTCCAAGCAGGTAAAGGTTACGTAGAACATCAGCTGAGGTATGAGTCCGGCCCGCGAAAGTCTCTGAGGAATATCAAATCAGTCAAACGATTCTTCAAAGACAGTTCTTCCCACTGTGGACCGTAGCTTATTTCACAGAACAATTTGACTCAAAGCCAATCAAGACATGTAGCTTGCACAAGTACATGAATCACCACTCCCCAGACTCAATCGTCAATTGTAAGAAAACTCATTCTCTCAACTCGCAACGCGACTTCTTCAACAAATCTCTCCACTAGAAAAAAGCAAATAATCCCATCTTGTAACCCAAAATAGCACTCCATCCCATCATCGGACCTCAAACCCTCAACCGGAAAACTCAAAACAAGCACACTCACCACCACGAGTTTCGAAGAATGGACGAACTGGCCACCGATATCCATGCACGGCCATCTCAAAAAATCATCCCAATCTCACAAACTCAGATTTCCAGTCACAACATCAAAAGAAAAATGAGGAAAGTTTCGAAGACTACAAGAATTCGCCCATGATGGGGAGTCCACCTAACCTTTCATCTTTCTGCAAAAACCCTCGGCCTCATGAATGATAAGCCTTCGGCCTTCGGCATGACCAAACGAACATCCAGCATCAACCAAACTCGCATTTCAATACCCGAACACTCCACCCACCGGCAACTGCCTCCTCGGAAGACGTCCGCGGGCGGCGGCTCCTTCTCCTCGGAGGCCGCTGACTCAACACCACATCACCCCGCGACGCCCCCCCCCCCCCCCCC